TTATAACACATAGTACTTTAAATACATTTTTTATGACAAAAAAAAAAACCAACAAAACATAAGCACAGCCGGACATGATGACTCATGCCTGTAATCCTGGCATGTAGAAAAATGATGGAGGATTGCTAAAAAGGTTATAGACACAGAAGAATCAGTCCTAAAGGAGCCTCAAGTTCCACATGGAAGCAGATAAAGGAGGCTGTCAGGATCTCCCAGGCCGGGATGCCTAGGGTAGTGCCACCTACACCATATGTGAGCATGGCACGCTATGGAGGGGGAAGAGAGATGACATTCTAGTTCTCCTGGACCCTGAAGGTCTGGATATTTGGCCTACACTTGAGTCCCCAGCCCTGAGAACACATAAGGGTCTGACACGTGACTGGAGCCTCCCTAGGGGTGACAGAGGCAGGAGATGGTTTGGGACTACAAAGTACAAAGTCTTTTCTCCTCCCCACAGTGGGTTATCATGGTGGCTTCTGTAATGAGTCTTTCTCTGTCCTGATAGCCAGCTCCCCAATAGTGACACGAAGACTTATTATGAAAGCTAGTCTTAGCTTGGGCTTGTTTTTAACTAGCTTTTATAACTTAAATTTAAAAACCCATTTCTATTAATCTGTGTTCTGTCATGTTCAGCCATCCTGTCGACTGGAGTAGATTCATCTCCTCTTCCTTTCTCTCTCCAAAAGTCCCACCTATACCTCCTGCCTAGCTATTGGCTGTTCAACTTTTTATAACATCAATCACAGCAAATATACCTTTACATGGTGTACAAATGCCCTGCACCAAGTGCCTAGGGGCAGTCTAGAGACTGTGACTGGGGTTGAGAGAGACTTGAGTTTCTTGCCTGAGCCTACTGGTGATTTGTTCATCCATGTCATAGGTTCCAAAATAAAACTACCAGAGAGTCTGGGTGGAGCCATCAGACTGCCCACACCCCTGAAGAACAGGGCTGCTTTTCTGGGCTCTGGGAGCAATTAACAGATAATGTGCCACACTGACCCAGGCACTGGTCTTGTTTGCATGGCAAAGCTCCACTTGGAGTGCTATGGTGGTGGCATCCTGTCCCTTATCCCAAAGGCTTCAGGAACACCTGGAGTCAGCACCCATAGACCCCATATGCTGTGAGTGAGGGCTGATTCTAGGCCTAGACTCTGGAACTGGCTGGAAGAACGGTGTTATTGAGTGGGAATGGGCACAACCGGGTGGAGGAATCTGGACTTTGGAATCTACAGAGCCCCTGTGTCACCTATTTCTCAGGAGCCAGCTCCCGTGCTGTCCTCCCCGCCTCCCACAGACCTCTCCACCTTCCTGTCATTCCCCTCCCCAGAGAAGCTGCTGCGTCTTGGTCCCAAGGTCTCCATGCTGATAGTCCAGCAGGTAAGAGCACTCCCAGCTCCGGGACCTCCACATACCACAGGAAGCTTGCTCCCTCCCCTTAGGTCTGTCAGTGACCTATTGGGTCTGTCACGGGATCCCTGCCATGGCCCAGCAGGAAGTGGAGTTAGGGAATTTGAATCTTTCCAGGCTTATCTAGCTGTTTCTAGAACAATTCCCCTTTCCAGGACATTTATGCAGCTCAGGTGCCAATCAGCCTCATGTAATTCATTGATTCAGGGAGGAGCAGCCCCTTAACATTGCACTTCTCCATGCCTACTGAAAAGGAGACCACATATGTCCTCTGAGTTGTAAAAGCATTACATTTTGTCATGCAGCCTTGGGAGGCAGGTGGAGATACATAGTGAGACCCTGTCAATAAATTTTTTTAAGAAAAGCATTTTATTGTGTATGTGTGTAGAGGACAGCTTACAGAAGTTGGTGCTCTCCTACCAAAGGATCAGACTCAGGTTTTCAGGCATGGTGGCAAGTTCCCTTTTCTGCTGTGTTGTCTTGCCAGCTCCACTCTTAACTTAGAGCTTAGGTGACAGCAGCCAAAAAAACTTATCTGTGATGTTTCCATGACATGAGATTATATGGTATAAACATTCTCATTTCACATTATTCTTCATTTTCTTGGCTCAGAGTTCTCAGGCACTCCCAGTGAGTGGATCTAATGCTTGAAACTGAGCCACTAATTTTGGAAATTGGCTTTTTCTACATTTCTTCATTGTTGACAAAAGAGCGTCTGCCTTCCTCTGTGTGAATATCGGCTCCCTCTGGTTGATTTGTGTTAGATTATCATGGCAGCTGTCCCATTCTAGTTAGAGTAAGATGGCAGCCTCTCCCTGAGGATAATGGCATTTAATATGTTTAATCATTTGCTGCTCATACCTGTTGTGATTCAGTTTTTCACCAGGCTCTAGGGAATAATCTGGGATAAGTCAACTCCTTGCATGAACTACCAACGGGGGCCCCTTTCCCATCTCTAATGCTGTTGGGGTCTTTTGCAGTTACTTTCCACAGCCAGGGGGCTGTGACCCCCTAATCAGCCATTATCTCTGTCTGTCCTCAGACTGATACCTCTGACCCTGAGAAAGTTGTCTCGGCTTTCCTGAAGGTGGCGTCTGTGTTCAGGGATGAAGCCTCAGTGAAGACAGCAGTGCTGGATGCTGTCGGTAATGTGAGCTGGGTGGGGCTGGTAGACCCAGATGTTTTCCCGTGTTCTGTATGTGGGGCAACTTCCCAAAGACATGTGTTATATATAGTTAGAACTTGGGCCAAGCAGGGTCAGGGCAGATAGTCAATCTTCAGGGCCCCATGAGCTATGCTATCCCATCAGAGAGGCCTTTGTGCCCTGTGGGAGACTCTGCACATGTCACCTACACAGAGGACACCAGCTCTCACCTTCCTAAGATTTTCTGGACTCTTTGCTACATATCCAAGCCCTGTCATTCTGCTTCTATCCAGTCTAACCTTGTCACATCCATTAGAGCCTCCAGGTGTGTCAGATTTGTCCAGGCAAAGAAGCCAGGGACTGGTAGCTCATGGCAAGAAAACAGGCGCAGAAACATGCCTCCTCTTAGGCTGTGCTGCTCTGGGGTGAGGTGGGGGCCATTCACTGGGACGGGAGGCAAGGCAGAAAGCAGCTACATGGCTGCTTTCCGGGAACCATGGACATCTGAAAGATGCAAGAGGCCTAAATTCTTTTGCATAGTCCCATCAGGTCTCCTTTTCTCACCTAACATCTCAAGCCTTCCCTAGTGGTTTCCATGGCCCTTGGCCCTATGTGCAAGGTGGACAGAATGGGTACTGTCACCACATCCATTTTATAAGAGACCAGGTGGAGAAGGCATTCCAGCTGGTAAATTGGGCCGTCTGTTGGTTCCGGAACCACCATCCATCAACTATACCGGTCTGCCTCTTGACAGGGCAGAACTCAGGGGCTCTGGCTACCCTTGACTTCTGCCTGACCAGTCCTGCTGCCTGCATCCTGCACACTCCATTTCTCCCCTGTAGATGCCCTCATGAAGAAGGCCTTCAGCTCCTCGTCTTTCAGTTTCAACACCTTCCTCACCAGGTTGCTTATCCACATGGGCCTGCTCAAGGTGAGGCTTTGAGGAGTGGCAGGCCCGGAGAAGGCAGCTTCCCGTCACTCCCTTTGGGTCACTGAGGTAGCAAGCGGGTCTCACAAGTGACAATGGAGCTTACCCACTTTTATTTGCAGAGTGAAGACAAGATCAAGGCCATCCCCAGCCTGTATGGGCCCCTGATGGTGCTGACCCATGTGGTGCAGCAGGATTACTTCCCCAAGGCCCTTGCTCCCCTGCTGTTGGCATTTGTGACAAAGTGAGTGTGGCCTTAATTGTTCTGCCTTGTTCTTGCCTGAGCTAAAGCTCCTTGAATGGGTTAGGGGGCACATGAATCCCAAGAGTCCCAGTCTAGCCCCTCTGTAAAGGCCCAAGTTACTAACATTGTCTTTGCAGAGTCTGGCACATAACCCCTGCCCATGTGCCCCCACCCACCACGCCAAACTGGGAAACACATTTCTGGACATGGAGCTCCCAGACCTCTGAAATGTCCATGCCACTCTCTCTTCTCCACAGGCCCAATGGTGCACTGGAATCCTGTTCCCTTGCCCGCCACAATCTGCTGCAGATACTATACAAGATCTAGGCTTAAAGTCAGCTTCTTCTTGTCCCTCACCCTGCCTGCACCAGTGACTAAGGGAACTTGGATGGACTGAGCTCAGCCAATGTCTCCATTGGATAGGACTTTGACCAGAGGCAGGGGAGGGTCTTTGTCTCGTGTGTCCTGTTGGTCCCTTAAGTACGTACGTATGTCGGTGTGGTGTGTGTAGGTATGTACTTCCTGTCTGGATTGCAGATGGTCATCTCTCCTTGCTGGACTAACCCAGGTCCACTGTGGGGGATTGATGCCCAGGGAAAAGGGCTGAAAGCTGCTGTTATTAAACTTACCGCCAACTTAGCCATAGGCTCTGTTGGCTGTCCTGCCTACCCTGCCTTCCTGTCCCACCAAAGCCTGGGGAGCTACTGTGGCCTGCTGTCTCCACTGTGCCTAAGGAACTGTCAGGTGGAGCTGTCATCAGAAAGTGAAACTCTGGCCTCAGCCATGTGACCCAAAGGAGGAGCCAGGAGCCAACCCCAGATAGCCCAGGAGTGGGAATTGCCTGGGGTGCCCTGGCTCTTGTACCCAGAGGAAGCACTTTGGCTGGCCCAGACCTGTTCTTCATCCTGGGGAGGGAAGGGCAGGTCCCCTAATGCCTGAGCTACATGTCGGGCTGCTCTTCAGGGGTTTTCTGAGGCAGGAGAGAACCTGTGTAGTGGGAATTGAGCTGGGTAGGAGATGCCCTGTGACTTCCCTTAGTGGCTGTGTGGCCACCTCCTGCTTTCCTTTGTATTGTGTGTCTAGGCTGTGCCTGGGAGCTTCACAAATAAAAGTCACCTGTGGTAGCTGCAGAGACCCAGATGCTTTTTCATCAACAGTGGGGATATCTTAGGACTGGTATGGTGCTTCAGAGGTTCGATGGTTAAGACAACTTTCTGTGCAAACATAAGGACCTGGGTTCACATCTCCAAGACCCGTGTAAAAAGCCCAGTAGAGCCATGTACATGTGCACATGCATTCACAGAGTGAAGCACGGGGAGCAGCGGCCCCTGCTGTCGTCCCAGGCCCTCAGTGCTTCCTCTGCTCTGGATGGTGGTGGGGTAGGGTTCTCACAATGTGTCATGCTGCTGAGTCGGTTCTACTTCCACCTGCCTGCACTGGAGATTTCACAGGAGTGGCCCAAGGTGTGGACTGTGGACAGGGAGGAGGGAAACCTTTGATTACTAAAGATTCTTGAAAGCTGTCTTGAGGTTCAAATGGGAAGCCAGGAAGGTGGCACTGTTTACTTTCCAGTAGGTGACTTGAGGTTGGCCGACTTTCCTAGGGAATGTATATAATAAAACCTTTACTTCAGACAAGAGCTCATCTTACCTCCCAGCAGGCCATCAGAACCCACCCCTCCTGCTGAATGGTGCTCAGCTGAAGCATCCTCTCTGGGCATGGAGAGATGGCTCAGTGGTTGAGTACACTTACTGTTTTGGGTGAGCCACACTTTAGTTCCCAGCACCCACGTGGCAGCTTTCAACTATCCATAACTCCAGTTCCAGGCTTTTGTGAGCCTCCATGTGGGTGCTGGAAACTGAACAGTGGAACTGTGGTCCTCTACAAGAGCAATTAGCTTTTTTTTTTAAGATTTTATTTATTATCCAACATTCTGCTTCCATGGATATCTGCACACCAGAAGAGGGCACCAGATTTTATCTATGGCCTTGAACTCAGATCTGCCTGCCTCTGCCTCCCCGGTGCTGGGATTAAAGGTGTGTGCCACCACCACCTGGCTGCAATAAACTTTTTGTTTTGTTTTGTTTTGTTTTTCGAGACAGGGTTTCTCTGTGTAGCTTTGGAGCCTATCCTGGCACTTGCTCTGTAGACCAGACTGGCCTCAAACTCAGAGATCCCTCTGCCTCCTGAGTGCTGGGACTAAAGGCGTGCTCCACCAATGCCCGGCTTTGCAATAAACATTTTTAACTACTGAATTTGTATTACACATTTGTATTGTTTGAGACAGGTTTCTCTGTGTAATTGTCCTAGCTATCCTGGAACTTGCTTTGTAATCCAGGTGGCCTTGAACTCAAAAACATGCCTATCTTTGCCTCCTGAGTGCTGGGGTTGATTAAAGGCATGTGTCACCACTGCCCAGCTGACATTTGTATTGTTAAACAGCAGGTTTTATATTTTTATGTTATGTGCATTAGTGTTTTGCCTGCATGTATGTCTGTATGACAGTTGTGAGCCACCATTTGGGTGCTGGAATTGAACCCAGGTCTTCTGGAAGAACAGTCAGTGCTCTTAACCCCTGAACCATCTCTTAGCCCCCTAAAAATCTTTAAAAATAAAAGATTGGCCAGCAAGATGTCTCTCTGCAGGTAAAGGTGGTGCTGCCAAACCTGACATCTGGAATTACATGTCAGGAGTTGACTCGCCCGGGGTTATCTTCTGACCTCTGCATGTGCTGTGGTACCTTTGCAACCCCATACATAAAGTTTGAAAAATACACATTAGCATTTTAATACACAGACATAAAAGGGCTGGTTAGGTGGCTCAGCAGGTAAAGACACCTCCAAGCCTGACTCTTCAATTCAATCCCTGAGGCCCATGTAGTGGGAGGAGAAAACCTGTTCCTTCGGAGCTCTACACATCCAAAACATGTTTGTTTTTTTTTGGTTTTTCGAGACAGGGTTTCTCTGTGGCTTTGGAGGCTGTCCTGGAACTAGCTCTTATAGACCAGGCTATTTAAGGCATGTGCCACCAACGCCCAGCCATCCCAAAACATTTTTAAAATTAAAAGAGCCAGGCCAGGTGGTGGTGCACACCTTTAATCCAAGCACTCAAGAGGCAGAGGCAGGCTGATATCTGTGAATTCGAGACCAGGCTGATCTACAAGAGCTAGTTCCAGGAAAGCCTCCAAAGCCACAGAGAAACCCTGTCTTGAAACCCAAAACAAAAAGAGCTAAAAGATGGTTCAGTGGTAATACTGCTCTTGTCCTCAGCACCCACAATGGGTGGCTCACAACTGTCTGTGATTCCCCCCCCCCAGCTCAGAAGATGTAATGCCTCTGAAGAAATCAGCATTCGTGTCCATAAAATAAAGGTAATAGGGTGCATATTAAGAGGGGGGGGGGTCAGGCAATGTCCCAGGCCTTTAATCTCTGCCAGCCTGGACAGCCAGGTACACAGAGAAACCCTCTCCAAAAAAATGAACAAGGGGTAAAAATACAGTTGGGCTGGAGAGAGGGCTAAATGGTTAACAGCACCCTTTCAGAGGACCCAAGATCACCTCCCAGCACCACTTGGGGGTCCCTAGCCACCACAGCCAGCAGAGTAATGAACCACAGGAGGTAAGAAGGCAGTTCCACACAATTGAGTAGTCAGTGTTGGTTCAAACTTCAGGAGTCTGACTTCACAGAGTTTAGTTTAAGCACATTCAAGCACAACACAATTTGGTGAAAATTTTACTGGTGATAATGAACCCATTTGTACAAAAAAGCATACAAACCTCCCTGAGGAACAAATCTAAATAAAGGTCACCAGGCCATTAGCCACATCAGCTCTCATCCTGGGTGGATAACAGGTTAAGCATCCCTTCCCTTGAAGGAACAAGCTACATATGTTTAATATTCCAGAGGATCTAGTGCCCTCTTTTGGCCTTGGTGGGTGCCAGGCTTGCATACACACAAGCTAAGCACAAAAATAAAAAGTAAAAAAAAAAATAAAATGGAAAACCTTAAAATAGCTCAGATGAACCAGTAAGTCTGGTACTTTGGGGGTGGGGCAGTCTTGCTATGTAGTTCATGCAGTTATGATCCTCTGGCTCAGCCTCCTGAGTGCTGGGATTTTATATATAGGACTACACCACCCACCGGTTTAGATTTTAGATCTGTTTATAGAATACAGTACATATAACAGTTTAAAAATATGGCATCAATTTGGATAATCCTCAATAACCTATCGCTAAAGTGAAAAGGAAAGTCTGCAGCGTCAGTGTGTGTGAGTGCATAGGCGGGAATGGAAAGGAAGGAGTTAAGGATTCCAGAGAGCGCCTGCCTGGGTTCCAGGTTCCTACCCAACTCCTGTAGCAACCTGGTGAGCTGGTTTCTAACTTCCAGAGGCTGAGCTTTTCCTAGCAGTCTGCAGGACCCACACACAGCCTCCTCCAGACCCCTACCCCCACCAGTCCAAGGACTCCAGCTCCGACCATGTTGTTAAGCCTGTGCTGGACAGGCAGCCTGTAACTCCAGCCGCTGCTCCCACCCCTGCCCACAGCCTGGTGACGCCCCAGCTCGGCTGGCCGGGCTGCTGACAATGCTTCCCATTCAGCTCTGTCCCTGCTGCCAAGCCTATGGGCAAGTGAGGGGGGAGTGCCGCCCTCCAGTCGGGGACTATCCCTGGTCTTTTCCTTGCACAGGGCCTCCAGACAGTTCCAGTCAGCATGGAGGGGTGAGTTTTGGGGCCCTGAGGAGGGTGTAAAGGAGCCATAGATGACCTAGGTGGCCACAGATGATCCCTTATTCTTTTTTTTTTGTGCCTCTGAGAAGCTGGCTGCAAAGGCCACAGCATTCTTCCTCCTTGTACCTGAGGTTCTCCAGAGGTGGCCCCTAAAGAAGAAAAGGGGATGTAGTTGTTTCTGTGCACTCCTGTGGGTTAGACTTTTGGGTCCATATGAAGAGAGATACATAGCAACCTTCCACGTCCCGGACCTTTGTCCCTTCAGGAATCAGCCTAATCGGCCCACTTCCTACCCTAGCTCTCAAGCCAGTCTAGAGAAAGCTACTAGCACCAAGAAAAGGGTGAATTTTGGGACTAAAAGGAGACAAAGTCAGTAACAATCCTGGGAGTTGTTACAGGAGGCCCATGGGGTGAGGTTTCAGCCCAGCATCAGGGAAGACAGCTCAGAATTCACACATGACCCAAGTACATAGAAAGCAGAAGCTGAGAGATTTAGCTGATGCTGGGCCTGTGCAGTCCTGCTAAAGCACTTGAGATGTGTGATGGAGAATGTATACATTCTTCCGGAGGAATCAGGACTTTCCGCTAAAGGTGACAGGTGCTAGGAGGTTTCCCTTGGGGTATGTATCAGGAGCCTACCTGTATTCTGGAAAATTCCCTTTGGCTGCTAGGTGGAGCACAGGGGAGGCCAGGTAAGCCATGGTGCATCAGTCATCTCTAAGGAGATGGGCAGTGGCTGCAGTTGTGAGCTGGAGGGCTGGAAAAGTGGGTGGGGGCATTAGCAAATGGGTAGACAAAGCAGATACATCTTGCCTGATGCAGTCCAAACCCTGTATCAGGCCAGTCAGCTGTGTGGTAACAAGGGGACAGAAAGGGCAGTAGTCAAGAGGCCTGAGCTGCCTGCTTACCATAACATGTCTCTAACCAGAAGACATACTCACTCAGGGACCTCAGGCCCCTCAACATCTGGACCTCCCAGTTGAGACTAAGGCCTGGGTTAGGTCAGGGGTCTTCCCTCCTGCTGCCAAACTGTTTTCTCAAGTCCAGAGTCAGGTTTCAGTGGGTTGATTTCTTGGATCTTAGTTACCCCCTCAGTAAACCAAAGCTGTTAATAGAAACTGCCCCCATAGGAGGTGAAAGAGGGCCAAGCCATGGCACTTTTCTGTGCCCAGAGGATAAAGGCCTGGAGGGGTCCTAGTTGTCCTGTATTAGGGGTTCAGTGCCCACTGGGGTTGCAACCCTGTGGACATCAGCTCTCCTTCTCCTCCCAGGCCCCAGAGCTCCACCTCTGTCTTCATGCTGCTTTTAGTGTTGCCACTGGGTCCAGCTTGGCATGTGGCTGCCCAGCGATGCCCACAGACCTGTGTCTGTGACAACTCCAGGCGGCATGTTACCTGCCGGCACCAGAACCTCACTGAGGTGCCAAACACCATCCCAGAGGTCAGAAGGGGGTAATACTGGCATGGGTTAGCAGTGTGGTAAGAGGGGAAGGGTGGCATGAGCCGGGACTCACACCAGTGGTTCTGCCACTGCTGGTTTGCCAAGTTCCTACTCCTTGAGCCTGGGTATCCACGTCTAAAATGGGAAGAAAAACAACTAGTAACTGCTAAATTCATTGGCTCCCAGCATTCAGGAGGTGGAGGCAGATGGATCTCATTAAGTTCGAGGCCAGTCTGGTCAACATAGCAAGTTCCAGGCCAGCCAGAACCATGTCTCAAAACCAAAACCAAACAAACCAATAACAAAGATGTTATGTCGGGCAGTCACGCCTTTAATCCCAGCACTCCCGAGGCAGAGGAAGGCGGATCTCGGTGAGTTCGAGACCAGCCTGGTCTACAAGAGAAAGTGCCAGGACAGCCTCCAAAGCCACAGAGAAACTCTGTCTCAAAAAAAAAAAAAAAAAAAAATGTTATTTACAATCCGAACATTGTGACTGAGATATCTAAGTAACTATAAATATTGCATTGGTGACAGGTCCTAGGGTGAATTAGAAGTGTGCCGGGATAAGATAGTTTTTCTGCCCTATGGAGTTAGAATCCATGGTAGAGAAAGCAAGAATGAAAAGAACATAGTGAGGGCAGATGGATGGCTGAAGAGAATCAGAGGGGTGAGGGAGAAAGGTCCCTGTGTAACTCAGCCTCCTTTCCCGCTCCTGTCTCCAGCTGACCCAGAGGCTGGACCTCCAGGGCAATATGCTGAAGGTCATCCCTCCAGCTGCCTTCCGGAACCTGCCTTACCTCACACATCTGGACCTGCAGCACTGCCAGGTGGAGCTAGTGGCCGAGGGTGCCTTTCGGGGCCTGGGCCGCCTGCTCCTCCTCAACCTGGCTTCCAACCGCCTGAGCATGCTGCCCCAAGAGGCTCTGGACGGGCTAGGCTCACTGAGGCGGCTGGAGCTGGAGGGGAACATGCTGGAGGAGCTGCGGCCGGGGACCTTCGGTGCCCTTGGCTCGCTGACCACGCTCAACTTGGCCAACAACGCCTTGGTCTACCTGCCCTCCATGGCCTTCCAGGGCCTGCTGCGCACTCGCTGGCTGCAACTGTCTCATAACGCGCTCAGCGTGCTGGCCCCCGAGGCGCTGGTGGGCCTGCCGGCTCTGCGCCGCCTCAGCCTGCACCACAACGAGCTGCAAGCCCTGCCCGGAGCCGCCCTGTCCCAGGCCCGCAGCTTGACGCGTCTGGAGCTGGGCCACAACCCGCTCACCTACGCGGG